ACGAAGACATTGCAGGCGAACCACTACCGTGCCAATGACATGTTCTGCCCCAGCAATCACGCCTTCGACGAATTGACTCTCTTCCTCATCTATCTGCAAGATGGAAGGACTACATGTATCGTACAGCCACTTGGTTCAATAGAGCGCAGCACCAGCTTACATAATCTATCAGGATCGAGTTGGAATGATATGAGTCACATAATCTCAAGTCGTGGATGTTTTAGTTGTGTAGGGTCTATGGATCTATATAATGCACATCAATTCTCGACCGTCTTCGCATTCTCGGTGACCGGCATCGGAATGGGTCCACCGGGCGAATCAGGCAGACGAGCTGTCAGAACTTCCACACCATCCTCAGTGACGAGAAGCGTGTGCTCAAATTGCGCGGACAAGGAACCGTCCGCCGTAGTGCTGGTCCAGTCGTCAGGCCACGTCCGATCACGGTGAGTACCAATGTTGATCATGGGTTCGATGGTGAAGCACATGCCAGGCTTTGCCGTTCCAACAGCCTTGTTCTTTGCGTAGTGGGGAACGTTGGGAGCACAGTGGAACAGCTGGTTGATGCCATGGCCACAGTAGGACTTGACCACACTGCAGTTCCGGCTTTTTGCAAGGTTTTCAATGACGTTGCCTGGTTCCCTGAAGAGCATGCCAGGCTTGACCAATTCAATCGCTTTGTCCAGGCATTCTCGAGAAGTCTCCACAACGCGTACCGCATCTGGGTTCGCGCGAGCCTTATCGCCAACGTAGTACGTCTCGTTAAGATCGCCGTGAAAGCCATTGTGATACAGAGTAACATCAATGTTGATGATGTCTCCATCCTCGAGAGGGCGCTGGTCCGGGATGCCGTGACAGATTGTCTCGTTGACGGATGTACATACGGATTTAGGGAAATGCATGTAGTTAAGAGGCGAGGGATAGGACTACCAACGTATTAGACGGTTTTCCTTACTCTTTTCGAACGACAAGGAAGCCACTTACATTACGCTCCAAGCATGCCTTGTGCACGATCTCATCGATGTAGTCGGTCGTAACACCTGGTCTGACCTCCCGAGCGGCAATGTCCAGCACCTCTCGAGCCAGACGGCAGACCTTTCTCATTCCTTCTTGCTGTTCCTTATTCAAGATGGTGATGTTGTGCCGACCGACAAACTTCTGCTCTGACCGAGGGATACCATCTTTGGCGTAGTCGGGGTGAGGGATAGACTTGGGAACCGTTCGCATGGGAGACAGAGGATAGACGGGTCTCAGAGAGCCGGTGAATTGAAACGAAGGGAAAGGGTTGAAATGTCCCGTGGCTGGATCAGGTTCAGAAACTACCTTCGGAGGGAAGAGGTTGGACAGGATATTACTCTTCGATTTGTGGATCGCCTTGTGTTCACTCTGATCGGACGAGTCAGCTTATAACAGATAGTAAGAATGGAGCAACACACGTGGACCTTATCGGTCACGTAAGGCAGCGTACCCAGCTCTGCTTGAAACAATCTTGCGAGCAGAAGAAGCTATCGGTGCCCATCTTCAAGCAGGTCGGACACTGCAAACTTCCGGCATTGTTCTCGCACTCCAAACCCATACATTTCCGGGTCGCAACCTCAACTGCCATATTGGCGCGCAATGAAAAGTCAATGGAGAAGTTAAAAAGCGTATTTACTGAAGAAGGTAGAAGAAGGGAAGAGGAAATGGACTGGAGTAGAGAGGTATATTATCCTCAGAATGCGATAATTTGATAGTAATGCGTCGCAGGCGGCAAAAGGAAAAATTACCGTTATCAAGACCACTAAGCCATATTTGACTTAGCGCAACACCGACGCTAATCTATCCGAAAGGGGACTAATGCTTTGAAGCGCCAAGAATCCACGAGCGCCAAGCCTTAGTACTCCGAACTGTGAGTTTAAATTCCAGATTGGGTAAAGTCCAACCGAGCTTTCCGACATCGCATGAGGTGAGGTGACAGGACATAAGGCGTCGTGTGAGCTCGAAGAGAAGCAGCAATATCTTCACAAAAATTATCTATTTCATAGAGCTCTAGAGCCGTGGTTTCGTTCATATGGCGGATACTGTACGGAAGAAACAAAAACTTGTTGTCGTCGGAGCTGGACCGGTTGGGTCGCTGGCAGCTCTGTATGCCGCAGCCAGAGGTGATGAGGTCGAAATCTATGAACTGCGTGGAGGTAGGTTCTATCTTTCCATTGGAATTGGTAATATTCGGAGAATGGCCACCCAGTCCTGGATATGACTGTGTACAATGTGCAATGAACAATGTACAGGTTGATGCTTTGTGCCCACATTCCTACTCATGGCCCCACCCACCTTGCACCTTGCGTCTGATGCTTAACCGATGATGTTGCAGCCGGCTTCGATATCCACCAATTTATGCTGCAGCTGCTGATTAAGTGATAGATCTTCGTGATCCCTCGACAGTTCCACTGAATTTCACAAAGTCCATCAATTTGGCATTGTCCGAGCGTGGAATTACCGCCATGAGGCACTCCAACCGGGAGGACCTCATCAACAACGTCCTCCGAGGCACGATTCCAATGCACGGACGGATGATCCACGGCAGAGACCACGGGCGACTATGGGAAGCTGCGCAAGCATACGATGTCCATGGACGAGTAAGTACTTTCCATGCTCAGATCATGTGAGTCATTACCAACGCAGCCAATAGGCCATCAATGCTGTCGACAGAAGTACCTTAAACAACGCACTACTCGATGAGCTGGAACGCACGCCTAATGTGAAGCTCTTCTTTAATCATAAACTGACCGGGGCCGATTTCAATGCGCGCAAAGCGTGGTTCGAACGTCGGGTGCCGGGCGAGGCGCCTCTTCCAAATTCCGCGAACCGCGTGCCAGAGATCGAAGTGGACTTCGACTTCATGATCGGCGCGGATGGAGCTCATTCTGCGGCAAGATACCACATGATGAAATTCGCCCGGGTGGATTATCAGCAGGAGTACATCGATACATTGTGGTGCGAGTTCCGCATTCCTCCAACCAAGGATGGCGACTTTCGCATCTCCCCCAACCACCTGCATATCTGGCCTGGAGGGGAATTCATGTTCATCGCCCTCCCGTCCGCAGACAAATCTTTTACGTGCACGCTATTTGCGCCCGCCGCGCACTATACACATCTAGGAACCTCGCCGCAGAACCTGGTCGAGTCTTTCAATGACCACTTCCCCGGGGTTTGTCCAGAACTCATCTCTCCGGAAGATCTGCAGGAGCAGTTCGCGACCAACCCCCACCTTCCTTTGATCAGTCTCAAATGCAAGCCTCACCATTATAACTCAAGTATTGTCATCGTGGGCGACGCTGCCCACGCCGTCCTACCCTTCTACGGCCAAGGCCTCAACGCCGGACTTGAGGATATTCGTGTATTGTTCGAATGCCTGGATAAACATGGCAGTTACGATTTAGATGCAAGCCCGGAAGCTCGTAGAGAAGCGCGCGCTAAAGCATTCCAAGCATACACCGACCAGCGCGCTGCGGACACGCACGCCATCAACGACCTGTCCAAGCAAAACTACCTCGAGATGCGGTGGGGAGTCAAGACTCCTCTATACAAACTTCGCAAGTCGATTGAAGAGGCACTCGACCGCTACGTGCCCAGCCTAGGCTGGCAAACACAGTATTCGCGAGTGAGTTTCAGCAACCAACGGTACTCCGAAGTAATCCGATCTGCTCGATGGCAGGGCAGGCTCCTCGGGTTGGGTCTTGCAACTACCCTCATTTCCACGGTAGGAGTGATCGCGTACGTGATCTGGCAAAAACCAAGCCAGCATTCGCCGCGTGGTCTCCTGCGCTACTCCTGGCGGCGGCTGAGTAGCATCTGGGTGAGGATGTTCCGCACAATTGCCTATGCTTGATGACGATATATCTCACGTCTTTCCCCTCTTCACCTATTCCTAGTAGCGTTTGATGATGTAAGATTGTTCATCTATGTCCTTTGCAAATCTGGCGTTACAATTTCATCTTGCTGTAAGCTATTCGACGTCCGACAACTTCAATACCAGTCAGAAATAGAACCATGCTATCTGGTAAATATTGAACATCAACATCTCAATAATTCCTCTAGCCACCAAATGTGTCATAACTAGTACGTACTCCTGGAAAACTTTAAAATATGCTGGCCTGGGTGATATAGCGGAATCACATCTCGTTTACAGTCAATGGCTGTACCGAGAAGGCACTGGTCGGAACCAAGACTGGTCATTTCGGTGAGTGTCATGATGTCTACATTTTTGTTCGACCTTTTCTTCCTTTGGAATTCCCCTCCAGAACATGGAGGCGGAAAATGGCGTGCGTGACAGACCTTTGAAAACCGTGGACCGGGCCATGATCGAGAAGATAATATGGTCACACCAAGTCAAAACAGAAAACAGCACATAGATTCAGACAATGGTAGTCATCCCTCAACGACGAGGGTACAGGGACAAAACAATAACAACGACTCAAAAACGACAAGTTCCCGCCAGTCAATAGGCTCACATGGCAACAACAGACCGCTGCCTGTTATCGAGTCTCGTAGTGTACAGGGAACACGGGCCATGGTTGAGGGGGAGGAGACATGAATTCAGTAGAGTTCCCCGGCCATTAAACAGGTAGAGTGCAAACTCCTGACGAAAAGAGATTGGGCCACCCAGTAGAACGGTACAAACAGCTCGTATATTCATTAGACCCTCTTATTGGTCAATCGCCATCGATAGGAGAATGGAAAAGTTGGAACACAACCAAACCTGGAGCGCTGAGCTTCATTTTTGTCCATCGGGATCAAGCGAAAAGTCCTCTAGGCCATCCACGCGGTAAATAAGGTACGAATAGAGTCCATCCGCGGAAATTGAAGGGCATGTCCAAGGGCGCTGGGGATTAATTAAGGATGATTCCACGGGACCGGAGGGACATCATGGCTTCCAACGGATATTCCTTTAGGATGAAGAAAAATAGGCCTTAATGTGGTGACATCCGTAACACAAGGAACTGGCAAAATCCAGGACTAATTCAAGGGCTGGCGAATTTCACGCGCCGACTGCGCCGCTCATGGATACGTTTCTCGGTATCAACATAAAGTTTGTCCAGATATTCCATGGCACTGGCATCTTTGAGCATTTTGGCAACCTGAGTGCCGGCTGAGATGAGCTGGAGCACATTGCGATCATCCTTGATGGGTCTGGACTGATGTTTGGCAGCATGTCTCATTTCCAGGGAATTTTCCAATACTGTCACTAGTTGTTTGATTTGGCCATTGTAAAGAACCCGGGCAGGTACGCGGCGCTTGGTGGCCAGCCTTTTCAGGAGATATACCCACTCGGTCCATTCGCGGTCCGAGGGAATTCTCACCTCTCTCTTGTCTGCTTCCAAGGGGATGGGGAACTGGTACTTGGCAACAAAGTCAAATGCACACTGGGACAGGCGGTCATTAACTGCATTCAAGATTCGATCTTGCTCTGAAACATCAAGATTAGTAGGAAGATGAGGAAGCTCTCTGGCCTGCTCCTCAATGACGCGCGGGGACGGTGGCTTCAGCAACTGATGGGGTCCATCAAACTCGTCACGGTTCGAGGGACGTCTCTGAGAATGGTACCGTGTAGTGGTCTTCACCTTTTCGGCATTACGCCGGCTATTTCTCTCGAAGAGGCATTCCGGTGTCTCCATAGGCTTGGCTAATTCGTAATCATGCCTCAGTGATTCTGCGGGGAGACGCGCAGGATGGTCCCAATCATGGTACACCGTACCTGGGCGCGGTAGCGATGCAACTGGCGAGAAATGCATACCCCCTTGGCTGTGCGGAATTCCTGGTGGCCCACCGTACGCCATGCGAAAGTCATAGTCCGGCGACGGTTGCTGTGGACAGCTTGAGATGCCAATCTGAGTATCAATCGGAGCATATTCACGAGTAGGCGGGAAGCATCTTTTGGCACTGAGCCGAGAGAACAAAACAGTCTCAGCACAACCGGAACATCAGTGAAGTATGGTATGTGGACGATCCGTTTCGAGGGATTTGGTTACCTTTGCTGATAAATTATCGGTGCCTCAGACGAAGTCCCGTAAATGTGTGGCCTCGGAGGCACCATACCACTAGCGAGTGTGAGTTACCTTTTGCAGATTCATAACTGGCAAAGAGGGAAATAGGCAGATAGGTGGTTGGCAGTGTATATCGGAAATTACCTATGATGAAGCCAGGGTTCAGAATCACTGCTGATGGAGAACGACCGAGAGCCGTTGCTCGACGTTGCTCCAGAAAAGGAGCTGAGACCCGAAGAAGACATGGGCATCAAAAGAGGAGGGAGGACCGGCGACATGAGGCCAACTATGGGAGAAGTCACGGAGCTGAGATGAAGGATTGGCTATGAAGAACGTTGAAGAGCCGTCACTCAATGCTCGAAACCGTCCATCGATGTGTCTGCAGAGAGGGAGAACAGTCGCGGTTTAATAGGACGAAGAAGACAGAACAAGGCCAACCGACAGCACGACAATAAGATCCGAGATCTCTTTAATGTCTCAAGTCACTAAGACAAGCAAGACAAGAAGGACCCCACAACAGTCCCAACGAGAGGAAGACTCGAAGATAATCACCGTCCCTGTCCAGAAGACAGAAACTAGACTATACCTGATTACCTGTTACTCGATAGGCGCGGAGAAGTACTAGGATCGAAGTCCAGAAGATGGCCCGCTTAAGCTAGTCCACGGATCAGGAGTTGATGAATGCTCCGCACTGTGTCTTTTCTACAAGGATCAATCGGATAGCGAGCGCCACTGACAGCAATTGGCAGTCATTATCGCCAGCCGAAGAAGCAGCTAAAGTGCATCATTATTGGATCCGGCACAGATTGTCTCACAGATGGATCAGGTGGATACGGGGCCATAAGCCGGAGAGTACGGCCATGGATAGACATTTTTGGAGATATCTTGCCCAAGACCAAAGCGCCATCGCCTCCGGGCGATGATCAATGCTCATTCGAGGTTGATGCTGAGGAAAAGGAAGTGGGGAGAAGAGCAAAAGTATCGGTGCCGCATAGAGTTTTGGACATTTGGGCAGCAATGTCAAGGAATTTGTCCTCTTGGGAGCGGCAGGCTTGAGCCTATGGGGGCTAATACAATAGCTGAAGCACTGGATCCCGCGAATGAGCTGTGCTGAGTTGGCCCTATTGAACAACTCGGATGAAGTCGATGGCTTGATGGATGGAGAATGTGGGTTTGGTGATGGAGGACTGATGGACGAAGACGGAAGTGTGGTTTGTCCCGATTAGGTAACGCCGCCCTTTGTGCCCTCTACCTCGATCCCAGTTGGCCTCGTCTTCCCTCTTGGTCATGCTTCAGGCCCTTCACCCAGTAAACCTTGCTTTTCCGCATAATATTTGCCCCTGTTATACTCTCTGGCATCTTGATCGAACTACCACCTGTTGCTTTTCACTAAGAGGCCCGATGGATACCTTGGGCTTCACTCGTATTGGATGCCAACGGGAATCATTTAGGCAATCGTCCTTGGTCAAGCGCAATAAGCGGTACCTATGATAGATACTACTATCTGACTGACGGCCTGAATTTGAAATTGGGCTTGAATAAAACACGGATCTTCATTCCCTGCCTTACGATGATTGATTGATCCATGGAGACATTGGGCATATAGTTCGCTGCATGTCTGACCGCCCAAGCCCCAGGCCAACGCATCAGCAGCTCCCATTCGTGTTACTGATTGTATATCTACATCTAGACCTGAGTGCGAGTGGGCGATATTCCTGTCGAGAATAAATGTGAGATATTAGGCATTTGATAATGGGACAGGACAAATCTGGCATGCCTTTACCATCGAATCTACATTTGGGGCAATTGCCAATATTGTATATGGAGAAGAGGCCCCGGAATCGGTTCGTTTATAACGACGGGAATATAGGAGAAGATTGCGAGAGTGCTGACAACCATCTGCAGCCCAGCAATACCAGATGAACAGCAACAAAATGTAGTCCACGACTCTCATAACTTGAAAGTTTTGCACGAATGATCTGAGCGCCATGGATTACCGCCTGTAAACGGTATGATGTGAGCCAACGTTTTGATATTACGCAAAGGCGACGTCTGTTGCACATTCGCATGCGTGTGTAGTCCAATTCCAAGACAACGCGCGTAACCCTAGCAGACTGGTCAATAAGAATCTGCGAGATCTGGGGAGCAAGAGAGTATCGCTGCAGGGTGCGAACAACATTGTACACTTACCTCGGAGCTCAGTCTATATCATCTTTGATTCCAATACGAGTGTCATACCCTAATATCAGCCTCCCTTCCTCTTGCTGGGCAGCTTTCACATTTCCACAGCGTTGAACGGAGCATCGCTCGACTCAAAAGCACAGAGCTTCTGTGGCCTAATATTACAAAAGAGACCGTTCTCAATGCAATAGAGAGGTGACCAAGCGGTTAAGGCGGTTGAACTGGTAAGTCGTGCTCTGTAGACAGCTTTGAGAACTTCTATTTATATTAAAAAAGAGGACTTCCATAATACGTTGAGATGGTTATGGTGCTCTTCCAAAGAAGTCAATTTATACCTAAAATTAGCATGTTAGTTAAAATACAGGCAAGGTGGCCGAGTTAAGGCGGTTGATTTGGGAAATATCTAAATCTCAACCCAGCTTCCGAGACCTGGTCGAACCCCAGCCTTGTCAAACATTTTTGCCTTATCCATCATCCTATTATTATTAACATACCTAGTTCTCAGTTTGTATGAAGCAAGTTCGATCAGTATGCATGCTGCCACACACTCAGTCAAGGATCGAAGCTCATTAATGATTAGAGCAGCGGGAAACGAGTAAGGACAACGCACGTGCAACACAATATAGTATTTAAAAAAATATTGCTCGGGATTTATCATGGATGGGAATAGGTAGTACATGAAGAGTCTAAGAAAGTTACTATACAAAGCCCTGGACCAAGGCATCCATCCCAACAATCGCGGTATATTCAAGCATGGGAGGAATCATCGCGACCAACCAAACTCCGGATTCAATGCAAATCACACAACGTACAGAAAATGCACATGAAGACGAGAGAGTGCTTTCTCTTGTCCTTCTAGCGGACCCTGCAGAGAACCAATCCTCCAATCTTCTTTTCGACACACTCCCTCGACTCCAAGACGCCTCGATCGGTCGAGAGGTACAAGCTTTCGCCGGGTGTCCGTAACCCTTCCACATAATCACTCTTCTCGCCGCGGATCACACGTCGGAGTCCAGCAACATCGATTGTGATTCTTCTCGTAGGCTTGCTGACCATGCTCAATTTTCCCAACACCGGTTCACTCTGCCAGTACTTCAATCCCAGCCACAGTCGTCTCGAGGCAATGTTAGCCTGTGTCAATGGCTCGATGCCTTCAACTTCATCATTCGCCGCAGGATGGCCAAGAAGGATATGAGGCGGAGGAGGTGTCGGCCCTCCGCGGACGACGGAGGAAAGGAAACCGGAGTTTTGAAGGGCGAGGCATAATTTCAGGTGTAGGTTGCTGTGAGGAATCGATGTGAGACCAAGACGGGCCTTGGATGCATTGTTCAAATGCGAGCAGACGTGAGCGAGATTGACGAGAGACATGTTGAGGTCTTGAAACTAAGAGAACTGGCCCAGGAGGGGCCGTGTGTATCGTCGCAAAGTACTAGTGATTGGACGACTCTGCTGCTGGTGAAGAGTGTGTCAACACATGCGTCGTTCTGGGCAATCTCCGGGATGAGGATTTACCTGAAGCGGCTTCGAGTAGTTTGATTATCAAACACAACGTAGTTCGGTCAATGACAATGTCGCTAAACTATCAATGACGGCGCTGGCGTGGAGAATCTCCAGAAGATGCGGAAGCTCAGATGAAATTTTCGGAGAAACCTTGTAGCCGACTCCGCTCCAAGCAGATGACATATTGCTGCCTGAGGCAGATAATCCCTCCATACTAAAACGCTCTCAGCTAATCATCTTCTTCCATTCTCCTTGTCGAAGCGCCCTCGTGCTGCTCGGCGTCAAAACGATGCATTTTAGAGGTCAAGTAAGTCGTCCCCTCCTTTGCGTAGAGAGCTATATAGTCAGTGTTGCTCGGTCATAAATTTTTTTGTCCCTCGTGCTTCTGCCTGTTTCTTGTCTTCTATCCTCTTCCCTACTCCCTCAGGTCTACTATACCTAGAACATAATGCCTCCTTTACCAGGTGAAGAGCGTGTGCTGACCGTGTAAGTACTAGTCAACCATCCACCCCGCAGAAGTTGATATCCAGCTGCGGGAATATACAAATATCTAATTCGAGGAATTGGCAGTTTCGCCGATATCCATTGTTATTTTACAGCCCCTACTCCCAAGCCTCAATATCATCGGTTCGATAAAGGCTCATATTTATATCTGTATAAAAATGCGTCTCCGCAGAAGCTAAGAATCGAAGTTGCCAACAATCCTGGGACTTCAGATCAGGATGCATTCAACGGATGTCAGTTCTCTCGTTGTGTTCACCAGTCAAAGTGTTAACCTCTTCCCTAGCATTGGATCATGTTCATCTGCGCCATTCCGCCAGCTTTCCAACCCTGTGCACCCTGACTGTAGATGGGTACAACCAGCAGACCTCGGAGGACTTCCCACCTCCACCGGTGAACAATCCATACGAATGGCAATTACCTCTAAGTGGCCCGCAAGTCGGAAGCACAGACCTGCACCGACTTCATACGATAGACATCTACTTTTGGACTCTGGACGACGCAAATGAATTCTTAAACTTGGTGGAGCGATATTTGTCACAGTCCCAGGTTGAGACAGACCGGCATCCCTATCCAGTCCCAGCAGGCTCTACAGTCAGTTCTGTTGTTGAACAGCTAGAGAACGTGGCAATCACGGACCCTGCATATCAGAATGGGCAAACTCGCAACTCTCGATCAGAAGCGGTCTCTATTATTGGGTCCCAACATGTTACCGCTCCAGCAGCTCTTCCTCCTCCCCCACCGGTCGGTGCACAACCAACCCCTCCGATGACCCAACCCGCGCCTGAGAAGCAGCCAGACACCACCCAATTCGCACCCTTGCCATACAATCCGGCCGCCCCCGCCGCACCAGAACCCATCCAGCACCGCGAGAAGACACCACCACCGGTAGACGCCGCGGACGGCACAGGTCTCGCAGCAGCGGTGGCAGCAGATAACGGCGCTCCAATGACAGCTCCCTCCCAGATCTCAGGAGGCGGAGGAGGCTACGGACCGCCGCTGAGTCACGCACTGCCCTACTCTCCCCCCGGGAGCTACGCCTCGCCTCCCCCAAGCGCTGGGCTCACGCACTCAGGCTCTTTCTCCTCCCAATCATCCATTCAGAGCCCGCCAGGAGTTCCGTCATACACCCCGGCCTTCCTCGCAGGGGGTGGTGCAGTTCCACCCGGAACCCAGCCAGGAGCAATGTCCTTCGCCCCACCCCCCGTGGATCCAAACGCCCATCTGCACGCGCACGGGCAAAGTCCCTACGGCTCCAATTCCCAGGCCCAGCCCCAAGTTCAATCTCAACCCCAAATCCAGCCTACGTCGCCCCCGCCCCCGCTCGGCGGCTATTCCAACTACTCCTACGAACCAGCCCCGCAGCCCACGGCACCGACCTATGACTATTCCGTGCATAAACAACTGTACCAACCCACTGAGGCAGAGGCCAATTCCCATTCTCAGAAGTATGCGCAGAAAGCCAGGCAGAACCCGGGACAGCGCTCGCGAAAAATCGAGGACAGTGCGTCTCGGGTGGAAAGTAGTGTGAATAGGTTTCTGAAGAAACTTGAGAAGAGACTCTAGACTGAATGGATATGGTTGAGTATTGAGACTGTTTCCCGGACGGGTTGCGTAGCAGTTGCCCTGCAAGCATGGCGATCCATATTGACCTCAGTAATCTACATTGCAATACTAGTCATCCAGCAATATATAGCATATCAAGATTAAAGATTAAACAGTGGAGATTCGAAATTGACAAATATCTTCGATGCTTGAGGCATCTGCCAATCAGAAGATCGAGTGAAGATACGATGCTCAGTATGCACAAGAAGAGAAGAAAGCTGTGCACTTGCACATAGAAGGAAAAAGATCAAGAGGTAAAGTTGAAATCACAAGATATGAACCTAGAAATACTCCTACTCAGTACAAATGCCAGTATGGGATGCAATGACGCTAGCCTGAACAGAAACCTGAAAGCAACTCCACCAACTGTATGCTCCAACAAAGGACCATTGATCCTGATCAAGCAGAAAACAGAATAATGCCTTTTCCCCGTAACCAATGACAACCACAAGGTAAGGCCAGAAAAAGTAGAACACCGCGAGCTAACCGCACGAAGGGGATATGTTGCAAACAACAATCACGGGTGAGCAAGTAAACCAGAAAAAGATTAAAAGAATAGAATGACAAGATTACGTTGAAATAGCCCAACTTCCCATGCAAGACTTGAGTTGGGGTTACCCTCGCCTTGCTTAACTGATAGTCAAATTCTCCATCTCAGCGACAACGTCATCCGTCTTTGATTTCGTTTCAGCTGGGATGATTTCGGAGTGCTCGACCGGCTTTTCCATTTCAGGTTCCGCTGGAAGTTCGCTCGCCAAGTGTTCCTTTGCCTGAACGGGGGCAGGGCTGCTAATATCCTTCGCTGAAGCTCCGACTGTCTCCGGCACGTCTGTAACAGAGACGGGAGTAGCCAATTCCCCAGCCTTTGATTGATCCACATCTGCGGATTGCTCGGCAATTGTTTCCAAGGGCTGTTCAGCTAGTTCATCAACCTTGGGTGAAGCGGTCTCTCCAAGCGGCGCTTCTGAAGTGGGAGCAGTGACAGGCTCAATGGAGGCATCGGTGGACTCCTTCTCAATATCAGCGGTCGCTGTGGAGGGTTCCTCGACAAGCTTCTCAACATCTTCCGAGACTGGCTTGGGCGCTTGGTCATTGACATTAGCCTTAGGCTTTACTTCTTGCCCTTCCGAGACCTCTTTCAATACTGGAGCAGCTTGTAATTCTTTTTTAGAATCTGGCGGGGTGGAAGCAGGTTGCGCCTTGCCTCTCTGATTCTTCTCTGACTCGGTCTTCTCTGTCGGCGGCCGAGCTGCTCGGATATCGGTCTTGGAGGCGACTGTCCTCGGGGCTCTGGCAGACTTGGAAGTTCGAGGAGGGCTTTTGATTTCGACTTTGTCATGTACCTTGCTGGCAGAACTTGCGGTTGGACGCATCATTCTAGCGAGGAAGCTATCATCGACCGGCTTGGCGCTTGCGTTGCTAACCCGAGAATGTGGGCGGTCGGTACCTGAATGGGCAGGGAGAGACGGGCGAGATGCTTGCTTGCGAACACTGGCCGCAGTGGGTGTCGTTGCCCGAGACTGACTTGCATTGACCGCTTTCTTCAGAGTGGATGGCTTCCGCGTCAGGCCGGGACCGGACCCTCCTTTGGCAGCGGAGGACAGAGAAGAAGTCGTCTTCGATGGTGGTAGTTGAGAGGCCCTGGCCGGTGATTTGGGGCGGGTAGTTCTGTCATCGGTCGTGGCTGGCTTGGTGGAGTCGCGCGCGGGCATTGAAGCACGGACGGGGTGGGTGGCCTTCGCTGTAGTATTCAAAGATGCTCGACTCGGCTTGTGGGTTGCAGTACGAGTAGCTGCAGCGTGGTCATCCTTCGTCGCAGCTGTCTTGGTAGAGTGCGCCGGTCTAGAGGTCCTTTCGGTGCTCGGTTTAGCTGAAGAGGTTGGTGCGCGCGGATTGGCTGGCGATTTGGTAGCAGAGTTAGTCTTGCCAATTTGGACGTTCGAAGGTCGCTTGGTAACTGTTTTCGTCGGCTTCTGCGCTGACTTAGCTGGGGCTGTCTCCGTTGCGGTATGTGGCGCCGACGCCGTCTTCTCCGTCTGGGAGACATCACCAGTGCTGGTTTGGGTTGCTGTTTGTCCCTTAATCAGGGGTTCGGTCGAAGGATTCTTTGGAGGCTGATCGACACGAGGCTGTTCCGCGGCATTGGAACTGTTGCTCGGAGAAGACGAGGAGCCTGAGCACTTAAGAACCGCTTCGAAGTCTTCCGAGTTGAAACTTCTCACTCTAGATGGAGGAACGGCACCATCGATAGGACTGCTTGGGCTCCTGAGCCCCGAGACCGGACTTCCTTGAGACGTCCTATCCACAGATATGAAACTTGCGCGAACCTTTGAAAGAGGTCGTGAGGTTCCTGTGTGATCCGACCCTATCGGCGATCGACCACGCGGAGGTGGAGAGGCGGTGCTGTTTTGATTATTGTTCTCGAATTTGGCCAGCAAGCTTCGCACACCAGGATGCGCCGCTTTGTCCGACATGGTGTTGTAGAGCGACGAGGAGTCGAAGTGCGGAGAGCTAGATCAGAGAGACATAGACCAGACAACGCGACGGTAGGAATTGAAACTCGATGGCTTGAGCTCTGTCACAACACTGGTGGATATCCACAAGAGGGTTCGATGAGTTATAAATTTCAGCCTTGTAGGGCTTTGCGAAAAGGCCAGATGGCAGCGAGACCTGAGACGGAGGTTGGTGTGAGGAGGGGGCGGGTGGAGGTGATATAAACAGACTGAAGCCAGATCGGAGGGGATAGGATTCAGTGAGGAACGGGTTTTCAATGACTTGGAGACAGATCCAGAGGTCTAAGATCTAACATGGTAATAATAGCTGACAGATGATGCGAGCTAAGAATGAGATCAATCATGAATGGTAATAAAAGAAAAGGAGAGTCAGAGTCAGAAGCTCGCCGGGGGAAGATGATGCGGGCAGGGGAAACCTGAGGCAGCAGTTTCAGGGGGCGGATCCGCGGCTTCAACTTAAGTAATTGAGGTCCTTTCCTGTGACATTCTATTATTAATTCAAGATTAAAGGACAGATTGAGTACTACTTTTTAGTCTCAAAGAAAAATCAGTCAAGGATCATGACCATGACTCCATGAAGGCATCAACAAGGGACGATAGTTCCAGCCACTATTGAATCGGCCACCATGTTGTTTACTCCCTACCTTAAAGAGCGACGCGATCTATGGTTGAACGCGGTCAAATGGCGTCATTATCCGTCCCTGCCAGGTCTTATTTTCTCAAACATTAGATGAGGTGGATAGATATTGCTACACGCGTTGTAGCTGAGCAGATGCAGCTGACTCAACGCACGATGAGGCTGACTGAGGTTCTGATGTCTTTGATTTACAGAGAAGGATGTTGAGCAATTGACTCAAGTCTCAAAGGTGGAAGTTCCAGCGGCGTATCACTAAAGTGTCAAGATGATCTACTCAGTAAGGGCACTACATATATATCTCCCTGAACATTATCCAACCTCTATCTACTCCAGCCTCGCCATATCCTCTCGCCTGAAAGGTTTGCCTGGAAAAATAACAATCATAGCGCTGAGTCGCAGGACAATGGTAGAAGACGGCAAATTACTGAATCAGTGATGGCATCACCGTACTCAGAAGCAGGGAGATCACACAGATTGTCTGCAACGAGTTGTCATTTACTCAACTTGCATATGAGAAGCTATACCTCCAGGGAAATTCTCCGAGTTGTTAGTATTATTTCCGGTAATCATCATACTGGTATACACAACGTAGACAAGGGCAGGTTTCCTTTGGAAGAAGGTCGACTTTGGATCCTTCTGTGCTTTGAGGGTGTCATGTCGCCTGCCAGCTTCTGAAAGCCGCGTGGCGGTCAGAATCTTGAGCAAGCCTGTCACAAAGCCTTTGCTATCGTTGTAAGTCTTTATCATAGAATTGATGTCTTAGCTCCAAAGAAAACGACGCTGCATGATCTCCATTTCCCCGGTTGATTATTATAGTGCCGCGGGTCAACATTCTTCCCGCGGTCGCATAGTCAGCATTCCGCTTCGATTACGGGCTCTGTTAAACGGAACTCTTTTTCGACTGGGAAAAAGAGCAGTCACACAACACCAGAATCTCACGATGGCAGCTGCTCGGACTCTTCGCATAGGTCAATTGAATCATCCTTGAGCTTTAAAATGCCCTTTATGCAACAACTGACACTTCGCTTCATCAGGTCTCATTCCCGGAGACGGTATCGGACGGGAGGTCATTCCGGTATGTCGCAACTACGGTGCAGCAGGGTAAATTCTGACTCAGTGAATATCAACAGGCCGGTAGACGGGTGTTGGAGTCGCTTCCAGCTTCTCTGAACCTCAAGTTCAGCTTCGTCGACCTCGATGCTGGCTTCGACACCTTCAAGCGGACAGGTACTGCTCTGCCGGACAAAACCGTCGACACGCTGAAGAAGGAGTGTGACGGTGCCCTGTTCGGAGCTGTCAGGTCGGTTGTCCCTATCGCAGGAAACTCCAGCTCTTCATCCTCATAGTCTTTGAATAGCTCCCCCAGCACCAAGGTCGCCGGCTACTCCTCCCCCATTGTCGCTCTCCGCAAGAAGCTGGACCTCTACGCCAATGTGCGTCCGGTCAAGTCCACCGCCGGTAGCGGCGGCAAGCCCATTGATCTGGTCATTGTGCGTGAAAATACCGAGGATCTCTACGTGAAGGAAGAGACAACCAAGGATACCCCCAACGGCAAGGTTGCCGAGGCGATCAAGCGGATCTCCGAGCGTGCCTCGTCCCGGATCTCCACCATTGCGGGCGAAATCGCCCTCCGCCGTCAGAAGATCCGTGATGTCGCTGGCAACTCTGCTCTCCGCACCAAGCCCATGGTGACCATCACCCACAAGTCCAACGTCCTGTCGCAGACAGACGGTCTCTTCCGGGAGACCGCCCGCAAGGCTCTCGCCGCGGAGCGCTTCTCCTCTGTTGAGGTGGAGGAGCAGATTGTCGACTCCATGGTCTACAAGCTCTTCCGGCAGCCCGAGTACTACGATGTGATTGTTGCCCCTAACCTCTACGGCGACATTCTGTCCGACGGTGCTGCTGCTCTGGTTGGCAGCTTGGGTCTCGTGCCCAGCGCCAACGTTGGTGATGGTTTCGCCATTGGTGAGCCCTGCCACGGCAGTGCTCCCGACATCGAGGGCAAGGGCATCGCCAACCCCATCGCTACTTTGCGCAGTGTCGCTCTGATGCTCGAGTTTTTGGGTGAGGAGCAGGCCGCTGCCAAGATTTACGGTGCCGTTGACTCCAATCTCGACGACGGCAAGTTCCTCTCTCCTGACATGGGTGGAAAGGCCACTACCCAGGAGGTCCTGGACGATGTGCTCAAGAGACTGTAAATGGCAAAGGCTTCGACCGGAACAATGTATGTATAAAATTATAGTCGATAACTACCAAAAGTCGATTCTTTAGCGGTTTAAGATATATGACTTTTGGCCAGCACCAGAGCAGAATATATGATACTAGTACAGATTATCACTCAACATCCCCCGCCGACGGTTCCGGCTCCCATTCAAACTTGCCTAGTTTCCCTTCATTCTCTTCATGCTTCTCCGTGCTCTCCTGGATCTCCCGCTTAGAGCGCTCCTTGACCCCCCGCTCTTTCTCCGTATCCAGCAAGACGAGCGTGAACAGCACAACAAAATAGACCTCCCCCGTCTCCCTATTCTTCAGAACATACCGCAGGTCATGGTTCTTCTCGTCAATGAATTTAGTCGCATGGACCGTCAACCCAGGAAGCCGCAGCGAGAAATCTAACGCATCGTCAGCCAGCCCACCAACTTAAACCAAGGTAAACGAGTAACCAACCATTAAAGACCAGATACGGATTCCCAAAATCCGCCGAGTACACCCTCCCCGCCTCGAAAACAAACTTCTTCCTCTCCTCCTCATTCTGGAACATCTTGCGCCGCTCCGCTACACCCTCCGGAATGCCCCGCTGCGCGCGCTCCTCCACCCCAGACCCGTCCGCCCCCTCCTCAACAACCACATCATGCACCGTCGGCACCTCATCGTTCTTCGCGATCGTCTCCCCAATCCGGAACTGGTTTAGCGAGGCGACGGCGGGGCTATACAGGTGCGGTTTATCCGCGTACGCGTCGCCGTCCATGGCCGGGTCGATGGTCCACTTGACGAGTTTCAGTGCGGCGTTGAAGCCCGGCGGGAGGCGGTCCCTGATGGGTCGGTCAAAGTCATTGCCGAAGATCAGGTCGTTGCCGTTGACGGGTTTCTTGAAGACGATGGCGAAGGAGATGGAGTATTGGTCGTTTTGGTGGAGGGGGTGCGAGAAGTAGGGGTGCGTTGCGGGGGAGTCGTCGGGATAGCCTTATTTCCTGATCGTGAGCTGTTTTCCACAGGCGCTGCGGGAGATGGGGGTGTGCTCACCGGTATAGTTCTGGATCCGAACGCAGAGACTCACAATCGCAAGGTCGTTCTCGATTCGTAGTGTCTGGTCCCTGTTGACAGGTACAGTCTTGTGGGTATCTGGGTTGTACTCCGTTCCTGCTGTGACCCTGAGTCGGTACTTGTGAGCTTGGTTCCCGCCAAACATCTTGAGCATCTATTGCTGCTTCCGTATGGAATCCAGCTATTACACCTCAGTCAATTACTGCGTAAGTATGTAAAGGACAGATCCACTGGCTTTAGATGCCGAAGCGGTTTTATATGGTTCCGCAAGTCCCAGGAGTATGATAATCCTTGATATTCTTGGTTCTATAAAAGGGGGTGTTTTTGATGAACGCCTACCGACGTCATCCCGCTGAACGAATCCTGCGATAAGCTTGCCCGGCGATATCTATTTTTACCCTGAGCTAGATATGAACAACAAACATCAACCAAGATGGTTTATACCTACCTGCAAGATATATTTAAGTTTCCAATCGAACAATACTCTCAATGATAGCCAATCATTTAGCGTAGACAAGCTATTCCAAACCAACCTATAACAGGGATCGAATCGCGATAGCAAGAACCAGCCAGCCAACATATAATGATACAAACGAGCATCTCAGCGCTCATAGTTCCGCTGGATCGGACGGCAGAAGATTAACGCCCATCGGGAGATCAGCCTCGTCCTCGACTTCATTCATAATGTCTTCCTCGGTCAAAATGCCAATGCCGCTGTCAAGCCGCCTTCTATTCTTACCCCTCCCAACCTCCACATCGACGAACCTGGTCATACTGACTGGAGTGATCGGCTCGCTTGGAAGAGGAATGCCGTCTGAATGAAGATCATCTGACTTCATCTCCCTGTTCGCGGCACGGATCTTCGCCTTTCGTCGCTCTGAATTGACGGTTTCTTTCATAAAAGCAAATGACCGAGCTTGATCCACAGCCCATCTGTCCAGCAGGTTGTCTCTGGCCTCCATTTCTAGTCGCAGCTGCTCCTGCAGCCCTATATTGCTTCGATGCAGCGTTTCTGCTTCTGACTTGGCAGCCTCAAGCGCGGTGGTGAGCTCCGAGACCCGGACATTTAGAAGACCGATGTCATTTTCATGATGTTCGAGCTGCTCGGCTATCTTTCGTTCTACGCTTTCGATAGCTTCCCGTCGCTCTTTTTCAATCGACTCTACCTTCGCAGTAAGGTCGCACGCGCGGATCTGGTTCGTCTCTACTGTCCCTTCGAGTTGACGAATCCGTTCTTCCCGCTCAGCAACAGTAACCTCGGCCGCCGAACGTGACTTTTTCTCATGAGCCAATCTCTCCTCAAGTTCGGACACATGCTGGCTGTGCTGCTCTTGGGAAGCGGTCTTGTCCGCCTCAAGTTGATTCACAAGGATCTCGAGCCCTTTCACCTCTTCACAATATTTGCTGAGCGCTGCATTCAGCCGGTCAATGCTAACAACTTGTTCTTCTCCTTCGCGTTCGAGCTCCTGCATTCTCATTCTCGTATGCAGCATGTCGCTGGCAGAAGCTGCCCTCGACTCTTCCAGATCCTGAATCTTCTTTGTGGCGATCTCGTACCGAGTCAAAAGGTTGTCGAATTGGCCACGCAGGGCCTTTTCGCGACCTAGCGAGCCCTGGTGGGAATGACGCTCCTTGTCTAGGTCCTTTACCAACTGCTCCACTCGGTTGACGAGCGCGGCCAATGTGGCACTTCCATCTTCCAGACCCGCATTGGCTGTTTCTCCAGGCAGTGCGCGCTCCAGACCGAGACGCGCCGAACGGAAGCGATGGCGCATCTCAGAAATGATGTCGTTCACCGTAGTACCGGAAAACCCAATACTCGAAAGTTCTTCCGCGGCTGAACTCAGAGCACCAACAGCGTCTGAGGCACGACTGACGGCCTCGGTGAGCGCAGGCACAAGTTGAGCTAGGAAATCCGGAGGCGGAGAGGATCTGCTGAGGTGCTGGCCAAGAGAAGTGCCATCAAATGCAGAAGAGTGAGCGCGAATTGCATCGAACAGGTCCCTTTTCTCTTTCCTGGCAGTTTCCAGGTCGAGTGAGAGTGTGCGTATCTCTGCTTCTTGGTCCTCATCAGGCAAATAAGCTTGGGTACCAACGTCTGTAGCTGTATTATGATTTTGCAGGATTGAAAGATTGTCCGGGGATGGGAAATGACTCATATCTGAACCACGGATGACAGGCGAGTTGGACATGAGGATAGTATCCCCCTCAAATGCACTGTCATTGATGATGATTGTGTCAGTTGTGCTGAAGGAATCCTGATCATCTCCATTTTGGATCGAGGAGAATGAGATCTCCTCCCTAAGACGACCGTTTTCGGTCTCCAGGCGTTCGATTCTGGTCCGTGGTGACATGGTCGTAGGTTCATCATCCGTGTGCCTGACTTGACTCTCATTTTGGGCAGTCTTTGCCGACTCCAGCTCCTGCATCAGCGCATCCCTTTCACGCAGCAAGGACTGGATGGTCTTTTCGTAGTAAGCGGTCTCACGTTTCTCGCGCTCTATGTGATTGATCTCGTCACTTAGACCTACACGGCACAGTCGTCGCTTCGTCCGAGGATCCAGAATCTGCCGCAAGGGCGTAAACTGCACCACTTGCTCCGAAGTTGACGAGTCCTGCAGATAGCGGGACCGTGCTAGAGGAGCAGAGCGCCGCCGCATCCGTCGGCTCGGGCTGCGGGTAATACGGTCTGCATCCCCTTGATCCTCAAACGAGGTACGAAACAGTGCGGGTGTCAAACCCGTAGAATAGTCGTGTTCCTGGACCCGATGGCCGGGATCCGAGAAGCGCACCCTTTTGTTCGGTCTTTGGGGTGTCTTGCAGGTTGATGAAGGTATCCTTTCAGGGACCTTTTCAGAGGATATAGAATCCTCAGATTCACTTTTCCTCTTGCGCGAGGAGGGAGGACGAGTCTCAGAGTTGGGAACGGAGGTCTTCCGACTCTGGCTTCGAGTGAGTCTGGCAGCCATCCTGCACTTGTAGGTCCAATAGTAAAATTATGTGAGGTAAACAGGAAGCCTATCTGAAAATCGACGGATTTCTTCGAAAAGAACGGAAATGATGTTAAAAATGTCTAAAAGTGATGATACAGCTTACTCCCACTGCAGAAGGATGACTCCAGGAGTATCTTATCTCCCAGTAGATAAACAAACAAACAACGCCTTCATCTGAGACAGCACTTGGAGAGAAGTATGAGACAAGTCAGCGAGGGGTTATATGTAGCTCATCCAAAGATGGAAAGCACAGGCAGCAACCCTCACTGGTGCCTTCCCTACGCGTCGGTATGGATCCATATTTCCCAATCCAGAAGAAGTAAACAACCCGTCAGGTGACTTGGAGCCTAGAATTTGCCTCCCTATATCCAATCCAAGTCATGTCTTAGCCGTTCATACCGAGCATCGCTTTACCTTTACTTGTCATTATTGTCCGTCGGGTGGAGTGACCGTGTCATGATTACCTCTAGAACGAGGCAACCATGGATCACGAGTCGGAGCTGGACGAGAAAATCCACAGTCCACGGACCACGGTCCTGCATTGCTTATCGCCTTATCGAGTTCTTGTTATCTTATCGGTGACACCAACTGGCCAACAGCGCAGTGATCAACACCAGCGTCTCCCCGCACCAGTCCCGGTACAGGGAAAGCCTGAGAGCAGGATATCGCATGCATCACGGTATTCCGAGAAGAAGAACTCTCCCTTGCTGATCTACCCCGGTAACGGCAGCTGTATATTGAAGCAATTCGCCTTGATCCCATCAATTACTCTCCCATCTCCTGCACGAATGATGTCATTCGTTGATTTCCTGGAAGCTGAAATGCCATACCTGCCGTATTGCTAGTTTATTGCCCCTCATCTATCTTTACCTCGGGACCATACTTGATCCTATCATTTGTCTAATACTTTCGTACGGGCACGTGAAGTACATCCGCAATAGAGCAGCCGGAAAGCATCGCAGCTATGGATGGCGATCTGAATACCTCGGCGGACTCGCTCGAGTTGGCGGGTGAGCTGCATGAACAGGAGCAGCAACACCACGATCCAGAAAGCTTAGCTCCGGACTCTAAAATTGATGAATGTCCGAAGTCACCGCTGGTACAGCTTCCCGCTGAACTGCTTCACCAAATTCTGTCGTACCTGTCGGCGACGGATCTGGCCCAAGTGTCAGCAGCTTGCCGTTCCCTCGCCGAACATGCAGCCAACGAGCTCCTGTGGGCCGATGTGGTCAATGCCTATCTGCCATTCAAGATTCACGACCCGAGCCCTTTTGAGTCGTTTCGCGACCTCTACGCGGCTTACCACCCGTGCTGGTTCATCCCACAGAATAAAATCTGGTTTTCGGATACGGAGCACACAGGAAACCTAATTCTGGCGCGATATGATCCAAGGAGAGGAGTCATCGAGGCATATCGGGTTATTGCGGAGAGACGTAGTCGTCCATTCCAAGTGTGGGAATCCAATCCGGATGTCATGGTCCAACCATTTGATCCCAAGGTTAGTCTCTGGTTGGATGACCCGGTTCTCCTCTTGAAGAACAACCATGGCCGTCTGCCGCGCTATTTGCACGGTGAGACTCGCATGCCAATGGCAATAGAAACACAACATGTCTTCAATGCTTTCTCGTTGTGTTCTTCGGAATCACCCCCGAACCTGCCAGTAGACCCTGACAAGCAGTGGCCCCCGCCGACCATTCCTAGTGAACATCGGGTCTACCGGGATATGGAAGCACAGTGGTCGGATTGGGACCAGCATCCGCGACGTCTAGCAAATATGTCAGAACACGCGTTTCGGATCCGACGCTGGGCACATTTCCGGCTCGGGATGCCTATGTTTACCGCCGGCCGGAGCGAAACACTGTCGACTTATGCTACACTGGACCCCCGCTTATATACTCCGACGAGGGAAAAGCCGTATCAAGGCATCTGGGTCGGTGACTACTCTGCTCACGGGTGCGAGTTTTTGCTTTTCCTACAACGGGACCGGGAGGGGGAAGCGTCCAGCTCCTCTGACGAACCAGAACCCGGTCCCGACGAAATCGTTCAGAAGGGCAGTCTCGAGGCGATCAAGCTGACAGGAGACCCGAATGTTCCTCGGGGTCAGATATCTTTTATTGCTCCTGACATTGGCCCGGGAGGTGTGGTTCGTGTCGCAGAAGAGGCCTTGTTCCGAGGGTGCCGGATTGTCCGTAGCAAAGGCCATGTGGCAGGTCTCGGGTTCAGAGATGGTAAGCTTTCATATGCTTTCTCGTAGGAACATGTATTGACCCCTTCGACTCCCATCAGACACCTTTATTCCATCGCAGCTGATATTGATATCACCCGCCTGCGTCGCTCTTTATTGGGAGGCTATGGGCCACATGTCATACTTTAAAAGGCTTGACATTGACGCGCTTATTCAGACGTGATTCGCCTCTTGATTTGGCAATGATACTCCCTGGGTGGAGTACAACAGAGACAGCACAATGAACGAGGGATCAACCAAGATACATGAGCGGATTGACGGACCTTAAATTGATGTATGTATTCGCTTATCCTTCTCTGATCCGTGCCCTGACTGGCTCACAGACGTGGTGCTCAGCTGAGATGGACATTGGTCTGAATCACAGATTTGGACAGACCATACTATGTTTTCGTCGCCTGGTGCGACTGGTACAAATGACCATGTCTCATTGTGAGAAGGTTGAAGCGATGATCAGCCAGAAAAGCTACGAACACTGACCATATCGCCGAAATTGATCTGCTGAGCGGTTTGAAATCCCGAGTGGTTCGGGTCACGTTACTACTGGCGAACATCTGTTCACCGTTCGAGGTGCAAGTGAGTATGGTTGTTCAGCTTCTGAAATGTGGAAGGAAAAGGATTCGACGAAAGTAGAGATATGTATGCAGCAGTCAAGAGATATGAAAAAAGGCATCCCTAACGCCATAGTCTGATTCAATCAAATGGAAATGCAAACCAGAATTCGTCAATCATGAATCAACTCCACGCTGCCGGGTAACCGGGATACAAACCACCCCCGATTGCCCCTCTTCTCTACATGTTTAATCCAGCGTAACAAATCAGAGTTCGGTATGGTATGTCCGACGCATCAACTCCAACAACAAGCATGCAAACAGGCCGCAGTGAAACCCATCCAAAGCCGTGGACCGCCCGTCGTCCTTCCATCGTGCACCTGCGACTCCGAGCCCTCCACATCAACCAACATCGAGCCACGATCACCGCTTGCGTTCGAAGAAACTCGTGGACGACAGCACAGCAACCGACTGATCCATGACCCACTCGCCGACACCGAGATAGTTATCGATCCATTTCTTGAAGTCTTTGTTCTCGGTGATCTTGTCAGTGTCGAGACTGGGGCTGTGAGAACCCCACGCGACCCGGACCAGGGCGCGGGGTGACAGATTAGCTTCAGTCCATCAATACCCTCTCCACAAACATAGAACCGACAAAGCGGATCCATCCGAGTCACCAGGGGTGTAAAATATGATACACAGAGAACGGGGTATATTTACGTTAAACCAGTCGAGCGCTTGATGCCTGCCAGAAAGGCAGAGACTATAAGAAGCACCCATCAGCCGTCATTCCCCTCTGCTTTGCTGCAAAATGGATAGAGAAGTACTTACGGAGCACAGCGTCAAAAGCGTAGTGAGTCAGGCGTCCCAGCTGCACCGGATCCCAAATCAGCATATCGGCATACCTCAGAGCAGGGCAGGCATCGGGATAGCTACCCATCTACATAGATAGTAGGCACCCAACACCGACAAACAAAAACATACCATGATGACTAGAGCCGAGCAAAACACAGCTCCTTAAATTTGTCCAGAGCTTAGTGGCAAGGGTAAGAGCGAGGAGAAAAGCTGTACAAGTCACTTCAGCGACGTTCAATACTAGCAGTCAAATAAGCAGAGCAGGACTCTGTACGAAAGACAGGCGGAGGTCGGGGAAGGTGGTGGATGTGATAGCCTCGCGTGAGGGGGCAATCAGACCGTCTTAGTGGCCTTTGCCGCTCCACTTCCACATGACAAAGGCCGTTTTGCTGGCAATATCAGTAAAGGTAGGTCTCCAAGAGGCGGTGAGCGAGGTGGCTGGGAGAGGCTGGGAGCATAGGTAAGCAACTGAGCATTGGATGTTATTATGCATGTTTACTCATTATGCTAACGGATGCACATGCAAACGGAAAGAGGACTAGTTGATTTGGCCGGTGTACGCATCGGTCTTGTTGCCAGCGGCTGGTCGCTAGCCTCTCAACTCTCAACAACCAAAGGCCGAAGCTCTTGAAAAGCTAACAGTACAGCCAATCAGAGTCTGAATCTGCTCAGTCAATTCAGTGTTTGGCTCTTAAGTATTCTCAGCAGCCAGAGGGGATCAGAACGAATTGGTGGTCCCCATCCACCAAGTCCTGTCAATATCTTATTTTATGTACCTCTCTACCTGCTATCAACAGAAGCTGATGCCAATATTTCGCAGTCGAGCATTAAAGGCCAATAGTCCTCTATGCTAGTAGTTCCTGAACCTTTTCTTTTTCTTTTTTCTTTTTCTTGGTCCAAATGGTCATTGCTAATCCAGGCAGATCTTGCCCAGAGTTTAATGGGGTGCAGGGCTATTTCTTTTTATGCTGCGACCTGATAACAGCATTCTGAAGATAGATAAGACTAGTAATCAAAATTCAAAGATGTGATCAATATTAACTCGCAGTGAACTAGTTACCCATCTACTAGTATTACTACTCAGACTACAGTTAACAGACTGTAAACTACAGCGTAGATAATTTTCTCCTGCCCGCGGGGGCACTGGACGGCCAACAGTATTTTCCCTCCCGCGCACGACGGAGCCTGACTGGAGCCCCTCCCTCACCGGAGCAACTCTGGTCCTGGTCCCTTCTTTTTTATCGACACTGCTGCTCTGCTTTCACCTCAGTCCAACTTTCTATCCCTCTCTCCCCTCACCACATCAATCTCAAGCAATTCCTTCTTTTCATTCTTTCTTTCAATTCCATCAGGAGTCGTTCGAAATGGCCGCCAGCACTTCTCTTGACCACCTGAGCAACCGTATGAAGCTGGAATGGCACGCCAAGCTGAACACGGACATGGTTCCTGCAAAGAACTTCCGTCGCACCTCCATCATTTGCACCATCGGTATGTCGGGGCGGCTCAAACCTATCCTGAGAATATTCGCACTCCTACGAATTGTTTGGCATCGCAAGATACTGACGTCGGCTATCTCCGCAGGCCCCAAGACAAACTCCGTCGAGAAGATCAATGCTCTCCGCAGAGGTACGAGCGGGGAATATCTCCTCAGACTCTCGCCGTCAAGTGTATGAGCTGACAATTTTCAACAGTTGGTCTCAATGTCGTTCGCATGAACTTTTCTCACGGGTCGTATGAGGTTAGTCTGAATTCGGCGCTCCAATAGCTTGATAGGAAGGCTGCGAGCAGAATTCTGACGTTTCTAGTACCACCAATCTGTCATCGACAACGCCCGTGAGGCCGAGAGAGTCCAGACCGGACGCCCTGTTGCCATTGCCCTTGACACCGTGAGTTTCACGACATCCGGTGCTTCCCGACACCATTCAGCTCTGACTCCCACATTAGAAAGGACCTGAAATTCGTACCGGAAACACCGTCGGCGACAAGGACATTCCTATCCAAGCCGGCCATGAACTCAACATCACCACTGACGAGCAATATGCTACCGCCTGCGACGACAAGAACATGTGAGTATACTGGAAATCCGAGCGTTGTTGACATGACCCCGAAAAACAACAGTTTTCGAAAGAGTCCATTCCAGGAATCCATGAGCTGACGAGGAATTTGGCAGGTACCTCGACTACAAGAACATCACCAAGGTGATCGAACCCGGCAAGCTGATCTATGTGGACGACGGTATTCTCTCGTTCGAGGTGCTCGAGATTGTTGACGACCAGACCCTTCGTGTCAAGTGCCTGAACAATGGCAACATCTCTTCCAGAAAGGGTGTCAACCTGCCCGGCACTGACGTTGACCTTCCTGCTCTCTCTGAAAAGGACATTAGCGATCTCAAGTTCGGTGTCAAGAACAGGGTTGACATGATTTTCGCTTCGTTTATCCGTCGCGGAAGCGACATTCGTCACATTCGTGAAGTCCTTGGTGAGCAGGGCAAGGAGATCCAAATTATCGCCAAGATCGAGAACCAGCAGGGTGTCAACAACTTCGATGAGATCCTCGAGGAGACAGATGGTGTCATGGTTGCCCGTGGTGACTTGGGTATCGAGATCCCTGCCCCCAAGGTCTTCCTGGCCCAGAAGATGATGATCGCCAAGTGTAACATGAAGGGCAAGCCTGTCATCTGTGCCACCCAGATGCTCGAGTCCATGACATACAACCCCCGCCCCACCCGTGCGGAGGTGTCGGACGTTGCCAACGCTGTTCTTGACGGTGCTGACTGTGTCATGTTGTCCGGAGAAACTGCCAAGGGTAATTACCCCACCGAGGCTGTCAAGATGATGTCCGAGACTTGCTTGCTTGCGGAGGTCGCGATTCCTCACTTCCAGGTCTTTGACGAGTTGCGCAACCTTGCTCCCCGCCCCACTGACACCGTCGAGTCTATCGCCATGGCTGCCGTCAGCGCCAGTCTTGAGCTCAACGCTGGTGCCATTGTTGTCTTGACCACCAGGTATGTAGTCTTGTTTTGGTCTTGATTGATTGAATTCGGCTGACGGAGTTGATTCTTAGTGGTAAAACTGCTCGCCTCCTTTCCAAGTACCGCCCTGTCTGCCCTATCATCATGGTCACTCGCAACCCCATGGCCGCCCGGGTAAGCTCAATCTTATCTTCGTCGTTGGGCAATTGAGCGTCGCTAATTCGTGTAATCAAGTACTCCCATCTGTATCGTGGTGTCTGGCCCTTCACCTTCCCTGAGAAGAAGCCCGATTTCAACGTCAAGATCTGGCAGGAGGATGTTGACCGCCGCCTCAAATGGGGTATTTCTCACGCTCTCAAGCTTGGCCTCATTAACAAGGGCGACAACATCGTCTGTGTCCAGGGCTGGCGTGGTGGCATGGGACACACCAACACGATCCGTGTGGTCCCTGCTGAGGAGAACCTTGGCCTCGCTGAAGAGTAAATCCGATCATGACTGCCATTTTCGGTGGATACCACGGTAATGACCGTGGTCGGATCATGTGCGACAAGGGGTTGTCTTGTCTTAGACTTTGTAGATATGTCTCGACGACCGATGAAATCGCGCGCACTCCAGACAATCACCCATCTTTCTCACTGCGAGGTTTCGCCAGTGGATATGATGAGACATGGAGTAGTGACGAAGGCATAGCAGCCCGGAGGAGCTTGCTATTTTCACCATTACGTTTCGATGCGCAAAAGTGGACGCTTACCCTGGGGAACATAAATTCGCTGTGGAATATTGTTTTGAAGCGTTGATCAGCCGCCGTTCAGGGGGGAAGTCTCCTAATGCTGGATTAATGAATCGCTCATGTATATGATGAGAACGAAAATCAATCACTGTTCAGTAAGCGGAAGATGTTAGTAGAGCCTTCTATGTTAGTTGTGTGGCAGCGCTTGTCAGTGTTGATGTTAAACCGGTCACGGCTTGCTGGAGAATCACGTAGACCAGCTGGACGTAGCAACCTCGAATGCCGCATCAAATGCCCAGAATACTCATCACTGAGGGCAGGCACAGGAGATGGTCTTTCGCAGCATGAGAGCAATGAGAAAGAAAAGAGGAATCGAGGGAGCGATGCGGGGAAAAGACCCTGGCACGCGGGTCAGGAACAGGAAGGCGCAGCTGAAGCCGAGGCTCGGCCGACGTTCCTGAGCCATGCATGTTTCTCTCTGTCAGATCAGCGACCGCATAAGAGCAGAGATCCACGTCTCACAATAAGAATCAAAAGATAGGAGTACGGATGAAGGAAAAGAGATTTGCTGTAGGATTAAATTTCCGGGGAAATAAAGATACTCTGACTGATCTTAATTGAAAAATCGTGCAGCTGAACAGCCAGGGCAAATCATATTCCCCGAGTCTCCCCACGGTCGTCCCGAAATCTGCCGATTGTTCGGTCCCTTTTTGCCCGGTGAAACGGAAGCTGGAGCTGATAGGAATCTGCATATAGGTAAACACTACATCACTACATTTGACAGCTTGTTTCAATCCTTGTTCAATATGTCCGTATCTGGGCGCTTGATTGCTTGTCTGCCAGATGCCATTTATGTAAAAATATTCTCAGGAGTAAACAGAAGGGAAAGTCATGTGAGAGTATAGTCACCTGTCGCTGAGTAGTCCATGGGTTATGTGCTCGTGTCGTATGCATATCTCGATAAAAACAAATCAGAAAGGAATGTACAATGCTCTGAGAGCATGCTGAAAATAAATGACCCAAATGTCCTCTGTGTATGTGCACGGCCGCCAACGCCTCCATTGAATGCAAGTCATAGCTTCTAGTAGCGTGCCAGTTATACATCAAATGTCGTAAGCTCGTAAGGTTGTCGTGGTCACTACATCCGTCAATTTAGGCTCTGAGAACCACCGGAATCACCATTAGCATCTGCATCGTCACCATCGGTGCTCTGAGGAGCCTGAGGTAGGTGATGGATATGGGCTTCCGCAGGCTGATTTCGATATGGTTGGGTTGGTTGGAGTTGATGCCAGCAACTGGGAATGATATTAGCGATTGCTGCCAATCAAATCCCTGGAACTACATACCTTGGTGCTTGAAGCACATATCGAGCCATTGCCTCTCTGAATCGACTCTTATACTCCTTGGGACTCGTGACAGTAGGCCGATTCT